TTGAGAAAATAATTATAACTAAGCATATTATAAAAAAATTATATTAAAGGAATGATGGGAGTGGCATATACTAAAGATAATGTAGTTGGAAATAGGTGTAGATGATGTAAACACTTTAATTAAAAGAATAAAAAATGCACCCATAGGCAAGTAGATAAAAATTAGTGGTAGAAGGTTGGAAAGAGAAGGTGTAAGCCTAAGGTAATGTGTATTGAAATTATTCAAAATGATTTGAAAAGAATAAATCTAATATTTAAAAAGTACTCAATTGGAATGAAGGGAAATGGAGAGTTCATAAATCCAACCACAAATAATTGGGATATAGCTAATGATGACAAACAAGTTTATTGACTTCATTATCTACTTAAAGTTAAGTTAGTCGTACTTTCAAATATGCATTTGATATTTTGTTGTGTCAATAGCCTTTTTTTTTTTCTTATTTGAGGTGGTGGCAATGACTTGGCCCGCTAGGATGCCCTAAGAAATTCCAATAACATAGTCATGGGAAGCATTAGACAAGCAGCTTCATGATAAGAAACTTTATATCTCCTATTTACAACTAAAGCTCATTTTGCACTTTTTTCCCACACACAATAGAAGCAATCCATGCTAAATTAAGCCTTAAAAGAATGATGTTATTTTCTAGCTTGAGTACTGTTTGCTCAACTTATTATCACTTCATTTTATATATTAATTCATAACAATTTGCACAAATTTAAAACATTAAGGTTTTCAAATGTCAGAATTCAAAATGCAAAAGTAGGGACAACGAAATAGGCATGGTTTAGCATAAAGCATAAGATCATTTCTTAGAAATTAAAATGATAAAGTTTGCCATCCGATTGATGATGATCAAGATCGATAGGATTTTATTAATGCATTGAATATTTAAAGTTATTAGGAATTAATATTTTTATTAGTATCATATTTTTATACTATAACATCAACAAGAAGAAGCCTTTATCCCACAATGTGAGGTCGGCTAAATGAATCTTTTTTCTCCATTGTGTCGTGTTAAAAGTCAAATTCTCATCTAAATCTAATAAAGAAAGGTCATTTCTAATATTTTTCTAACCAAGTCTTTTTAGGTCTACCTCTACCTTGACATAAGACAAATCTAACACATCTATTTTCCTAACCGGGTCATCAGAAGGCTACTGTTTTATGTAACTAAACCATCAAAGGCGGCTCTCTCTAATCTTATCTTTCACTGGAGTTACTCCAACCTTTTCATGTATATGCTCATTTTGCATCCTATCTCTAAGAGTAAAGCCACTCATCCACATGAGCATCCTCATCTTGATGATGCTCATTTATTATCACCATAAAGCATTGCAGATCTCACTACCATCTTATAAAATTTTCCCTTTAGTTTGAGAGAGACTTTCCTATCACACAAAAAGCCCAATGCATTCCTCCACTTTAACCATCCAGCTTAAAATTCTACTAATAGTATCCCCATCTATTTCACCATCACTCTAAACAATAAATCCAATATATCTAAAAAGTGTACTCTTATTAATGACTTGATCTCCCAAAGTCACAATCCCCCCACTAGATCTATTATTGTATCATAATTTTATGAATGATTATTTTATAATTAGCCTTAAAAGGTCATTTTGATTTTTAGTGATTAGTTTATTTATACAAATAACTCCCTATTCATTATAAAAATCATGTGATATAATGCACAAACTACTTTTCAGTTGTAGTCTTATGAGATTTCATCCCCCATATTAATGATCGGCATTCATTCTTCGTACTTTGAGAATTTAGCATCATACCTTAAAGATTTAGCATTTACTTGAGAATTCAATATTTAATTATTTTCTTAATTATATTATCTACCAATTTTGTATTGCATTCACAATTTCATTGAGTACCCTACTTCAAATTGATATCATACCAAATTTTGCATTATTTTCCTCTAATTTTCATCGATTTCTTGTTGTTTTCCCCTTCCTTTCTACAATTTCCCACAATTTGTTAATAATTACAATAATTTCCTCCAATTTACTTATCCTCTCTTGCTATATCCTTCTACCCATGCATTTCTTACCCCATTTACCATTGATTTTTCTTTTCATTAGGTTAGGAATCGAAATTCATAATTTTTTGCATTTTCTATCTTTTCAACTGCCTTATTGCTCTCTCCTTCCCTGAAACCCATATTTCCATATTTTTTTCTCAATTAATCTACCTTTTCTCTTCTCCACACATCTTCGAAAATATTTTCTCAACAAATTCCTAAAAATTTCAAAAGAAAATAAAAATCATTTAAAAGTAGATTAAATTTTAAAATTCAAGTTAAAATTCAACATTCTTAACCACCCAAACATCTTCAAATCTCTAAAAAAGTTTCTTAAAATCTCACCTCAAAACTGGCCAGCAAATCCAATCTATAAATTCCATCCAATAAACCATCTAGACTATCCAAAATAATTCAAATACAATATTATTAGTCTCAGGGGGGTTGTCTTTTAAGGATGTATGCTCCTTGTCCCCAATCCCAAAAACTTCGCCCCATACAACCCCATCTCATAACAAAACAATCAATTATTTATGGTATACATAACCAAGCATCCCAAGTTGTACACCTTTTTCCACTCTCATCAATTTATCCTTTCTAAATAAACAAAAGTATTATCTCTATTTCACGACAAAAGGGATGGTTTTATATAATCCCCTCTCTCATGCATACTAATACCTCGTTACTATCTCTCTGCCTTCAAATTTATGAAATTTGTGGTAAGGCTTATTGTTGCTACCTACAACAACAAATAAAAAAGGTAAAACCATAAAATGATCGCAAAAGTCATTCTATGTCTACCAATCGGTAGCATAAATTAGCCTCTATGTTGCTTCCCTTAATATCTAAAGCACTAATACAATTGTTTTATGCAAACAATAGAATTCCTACATCATCGATAAAGCATCAAAGTTCCACAAGAGGTGACACTCCTAAGGAATCGGTAAGACATTGCATCAAAGCTGGAGTGTGATTATGCTATAAACTAAGATCAAAATGTCATCCACATCAAAAAATTACAGGTTCACTAATGGAATAAAAATTTGTTCCTATATAGCCTTTAGTCTTATGAAGAAATTCCATTACACTCACTCTTTGTAAGAGTTTTCTTCACCTTGAAAGAAGTGTTGTCTGTGTTATTCAATTGATGATGATCTAGAAAAATAGGAACTTATTGATGTATTTGAATTTTAAACTTAAGAGGAATTAGTAGCTTTTATATTTATTACCTCTTATTTTCAAAAAGATTGGCTGATTAATTTCAAGAATAGTTTGAATCTTTAGTGCTCTCACTATAGAGGATTACATCCCCTTATGAATGTTTAAGAATTGACATATCTTCTTCTTTCTCTAAAGATTTGCACCTTGCCTTGAGGATTCAAAACATCCATTGTCTTAAAGAGTTAACAATAACTGCTTGAGAATTTGCTATTCAGCATTTTTTTTATTGTGCTTCATTCACATTTTCTACTGTTTTCACAATTTTGCTACACACTCTGCATCAAAAAAATTCATATAAACAAGCTATAACAAAAGAATCCTCTTCATACATGGTTGTAGTACCCGTCCATTCTCTTATTATTTGAGCTCCAACAGTGACATGAAACAAGTATTATATGTAAGGGAATACTGCCGATTTCCTCACTTATTTGGGATTATGAACCTTCTGTAATATGCACTTTATTCTTCTTAAGACCTTTAATGCTCGACACTACAGGACCTCTTCAGCACCCCACTTATGCATGCATTCTTCTGATCATTATAGATATTTAATTCTGGTGACAGTTTTTTAGCCTTCATAAAGGATGCGATTTATATATATTTACAACCTATTAGTACTTTATATCTGATTTGATTAAATCTTTGTTTCTAGTTATATTTTGACCAGTGGATAACCATATCTAACTCTCTAAATAGCTGGTCTGCTGTAAACATATATGATTTAATATCTTTGATTCTGTTCCTATGTAAGAAACTATGAAGAAATAACACTTGAACGGAGATAACAACTCCAACATACACCGGATACCGTACACTTTTGGTTGAGTATCTCACATTCCTCATTCATACTTAGGCATATGCTTTCGGGGTAGAAGTTCTTGGATACGCTAAAAAGTTTAGTACATGCCAAGTACAATAACACCATAGCTTATATGTGAGAAAAAGAACTAAGTCATCGCTCCCATTTGCACCGCAAGCGTACTAATCTTGTTGTGCTGCCTTACTTCAAAAATTATTGATCCACTAATTTTCCCCATTATCAAGCAAATATAATATTTGTGTGATTGAGATCAATTAAATCACAACCTTTATGAAATTGTCCACTTGGATCACTCAACAAACTCTTCAAGAGAATGATTCTGTTTATTCCATGTCTAAAGGCTCAATTAGCAAGGTGTTTTTTTGCAAAATGCAACTTTGAATGCAAAAGCACGGGCTAAGGCCATCGCCAATCAAACGTGAAACAAGTGTTTGACGTCCGCCGCCAACTCCACCTGAACTCAAATTTCAGTTGTATTTTCGCGACATGAACATTGTCGCGCTAATATTGGGCATCGCATTGTTCACAAATGCTTTTTTTTTTTTGAAAAATTAGAAATGACAACAAAAATACATAATGAGAACTAAAACTAAAAATAACTAGTACATAATGAGAAATCTAATATAATTTTCATTTTATTTAATAAATATTTATTTTATTAAGTGAGTATTTGTATTCCAAATTTATTGAGTTTGATTTATTTATTTTAAAAAAATTATATTCTAATTCAAAAAATTGATAGATATAAGAATATGATTAAAAATAAATATAAAAAATAGAAAGAATAGGCACAAAATATTCTTTTTGGTCTTAAGAATTATAGTTCGGTTGGAGATAAAGTTATTACTTATATGGGAAAATGAGTTTTTCGGTTGGAGATGATAGGAGCTAAAGTAAAGGCGGGAGGGATTGAGAGAACTGATCGATTACCCGAATGAGAAAAGGATGCACCGTGCGCAGATCCTCGTGACCCACATGAATCGGCATCTCCACCGTGGCATTGGTCTTTGCCTATCCTTCCAACCGTACAGAGCTATCTTTGTAGCCAGGTAACCCAATGCGAGCGCAAGGCCAAATAGCACCAGTCGCGCGAGTGCGATCGGCAGGCAGACCACTACCTTGCACCATTCGTAGACGCCCATCGACGGCGTGTGGTTCCGGAACGGATCTATGGGGGTAGGCGGAGGCAGAGAAAACGCCGGCGCTCTGATAAATTCGAACGGATTCGATTCCTCCAACACCGTCGCCGCCGCTCCGTCACACTCCCTCCCGCGATCATCAGCATCGCCGACGACGTCTACGATAACCTCGCCCTCTCGACCTCCCTCGGAGAGCAACAGGGCTCTGAGCTGATCGCCGGCCGCGGTATCTTCCATCTGAAAGCTATTGCGATGAGGGCGCGCGAGGGATTTGGGGGGACGAGTGAGGATATTAAGATCAGTCGATTTCGGGCGAAAGCGAGACGGACTTTGTTCTGATTCCGGGCTTTTAAGGGGTTGGTTTGATATCGGCCTCGGGTTCGAGGGACGCCACGATAGCGGTGTGGGGCCCGCTGTCCCCTTCGCGACCTTATGCTATTTTGGAATCGTGCTTCCGCTGAAAGGTGTTGTAGGAACATTTTTACATTTAATTAATGCGATGTCCTCCACTTTTTACGGTTCTAACACGCCAAAGCATGTGAACGGCAGTAATGCATGTATGGATGGACATGCTTCCAATGCTACGGATGCTGAAGTTGAGTCGTTTGAACCAACTTTTAACAGGCAAACGGAATTTTGATTTGAGATGTCATGAAAATTGAAAAATTGTTTTTATTATTTTATTTTTTTAATATATATATATATATATATATATATCTAAAATGGTTGAAAATACATATTTAATATCTAAATTATTCTATTTACTAATATACCACCTAAAACACTCATTTTAAATCTATCATAGCACTCTGTCTTCAGCCCGTTCACCCACTTCGTCTTTCACATCATGTAATCTCTATTTATTCCTCTTTCCAATATTATGTCGTGACTTCTCGAGAGATTTCGCTCCACTGTTTCACACGCCAGGTATTTTCTTAGGTCGGCAATGTAAGAATTTTTTGTTTTTCTTCTTCTTTCCAGTTATTTTTGAAACATATTTAACCTCAGTTTTTACTTTTTATTGTTGATGTTCATCTTCTCCATTAGTTGTTTAGGGATTACTTCTCATGTCTTCATTCACTATGTTGTGTTTGTAAATTTAGATATGTACAATAGGTGTTTGATGAAATGTCAATGCAATATCTTTTGATAGAATCTGAAATGATGTATTTTATGAAGGTGTATTTTATGAATGAATGAAATTTCAAAACAATTGTTTGCTTCTCATGTCCTCATTCCAATAGGAGCTGATGTTTTTTTTTTTTTAAGGTGTATTTTATGAAGGCAATCTACAATGAGTTCGAGTTCCTCGGCAATAGCAATCAAAAAACTGAGTAATCAAATATATTATCATTGCAACTTACAATGTACAATATATACATCTCACAATTACGTAGTAGAGGAAGAAAGTTCTACAGATGCTCCCGGAATAGATCAGAAGATAATTGCGGTTATTTTCGAAGGTGTAATGAACTTAATGAATTGTCATATGATAGCAATTATCGAAGTTGAAATGTTGCTGAAAGCAGTACAATACATGTTGTTTTAGTTAGAGCCGAGCTGCTACAAATAAAATATTGGTTGGTGAATAGTGATTATCCTAAATTTTATTGTAGCATTCACTGTAAGTAAATGTCGCTGTGAGTAAATATCACTTTGAGTCAATGTAACTTTTACACTATCAATATAAGCATGAGTCAATGTAACTTTTTTGTCAATCAATATAGCCTTAAGTCAATGTAACTTTGATATTTTGTTATGTGAGTCAATGTAATTTTTAGTTAATCAATATAATTGGATTTCTATATTACCATTTAGCAAAAGCATTCTATGTTTTGAACTACAGGCATGTTGCCAATTTCAAGTTTTAGTTAGCAAAAGCATTCTATGTTGTTTCAGTTAGCAAAGGCATTCTATGTTCTATATAGAATTTGTGTCAACTGTCAACAAAGGCTTTCCTATTTGTGATTTGCTATCGGCTGACTTGATCACATTTATGGACAAAAAAATCACAAATACGTTGGAATAGGATTAGCAATCCCACTTAAAAGGGTTCAATTTGCGATTGATAATATCAAGATCAAATATGAAAAAGTGGTATCTTCCTCCACCTCATAACACTAAAAATACTCAAGTTGATTGTAACTTCAACAAATATAAAGTCTTTCAGTAAGAAGTAAGATAGAATGCAATATTTAAGAAGTACTATTTAAGATAATTTAATCAAGACAATAATTATAATCAGCCCGTCGAATGGGTAATTTTGAACATCCATCAGCCTGAATATCTTCTCCCTCAAAACTTATATGTTCCTTGCAAGTACTTCTATGATGATCCCAAAAATTGCATCGACCACATTTATGACTTGTTTTCGATTTCTTTGCACCTTCTAAGAAGTTCTGAAATCATCCTTTTTTTTTCATCCACGAGGCCTGAGTGTAATAGGTCTTTGGTCATCCACGAGGCCTGAGTGTAACAGGGGGACAAACGAACTTTCCATTAATTGGTATAGACCACTATTCCTTCCCTTGGATGCATTGAAATAGCTCTATCATAGGCCAGTCTGTGCCTACAAAAAGTGTTGTTGTAAAGACAACTAGCATTACCATAAGAGGAAATTGAAGAAGATAACTCACCTATAACTGTAATAATGTTCATACACATATGTGTGCTATAAATTGTGATATTTTGTTCCAATAAATGATGCAGCATACACACAGGATAGTCCGGTTAACTACCAAAACCCATAACTGCACAATTGATTCTCTATGTCCACCTCATGACACTCATAACTCCCTTCAACCTCAATTATGATTGAAGTAGATTGTCGTGTAATGAGTTTTTCTTTTCTTGCTGTAACATCTCTAATATACTCCTCTACAAAACGAATAGGAGGCTCATTCCAAGAATAAGAGTTTAACTTCCATAAGAATGTTGTTCCATCAACATTTCTCTTATCATGTCGATGAGATTTACCACGGGCTTATTCCTTGCCTCCTCCACTCATGAATTAAAGGATTCCGCCATGTTATTTGTGTTGTAATGATTCTTAATATGCTTTGAGAAAGTTATTTTTTACCACTTACATGTAAAAGAACTTATATAGGAATGAACGTCTGGACTAATTCAAAAGATTTCTTCTAGCTTAGCATTAAACTCATGTAGGCTATAACAATTTTTTGCAGTCCACTCCAATTTTTGCAATTTGCGACTATCATCACAACAAAAAAGTTTTTTAATGTTCTTCCAAATATGTCTCATACAAACTAAATGATCAACATTAGGAAATACAACATTAATTGCTTCACTTAACCCTTCTCCATATTTGATATGATGGCTAAGTGTTTTATATCAACACTAAAAGCTTGAGACAAATTCATCATAAACAACTTTCAACTTCTATTTGATTCAGATTCTGCAACGGTGAAAGCAAGGTAAACAGACTATTATTCCCATTCAAATAATTCACAGATAGTAGAACTCCTAAATACTTGGATTTTAGATGGAAAGCATCAATGCCAATTAAATTTCAACAACCAGCTAAGAACCCATCAATACAAACTTTGAAACTGACAAAGAACATCTTAAATGCTTGGTTTTGGTTTTCGCATAGGTATGTTATATGTGACCTCAGATTCTTAATGATTAACTCTGACCATAGTATGGGTAGCCACTTATAGTTATCATCTATTTAACCAAATGTTTGTTCTTGTGTTAATTCCCTTGAACATCATATTTTAATATACGAAAAGGATAGAACAAAAGTGGTCTACAAGTAGCTGTTGATTGTAACTTTCTAACTTTGAATGAATGATAATTTGAACATAACAAATTACATATTCTCCATAGTCATCCATGATATGTGCATACATCAATAACTCTTAACTTGTCACTAGCTTTAATCTTTATTGCAAACTTTTCTAAAATTATTTAGAATAAATAGCTTGTTTAAAACTTAATGAATCATAATATCACGAACCAACACATACAATATGTATTTCTTCAACCTGAGCCGTAAAGGAACCATCACACAAACCATCTACAATTATTTCATTGTTCACACTATTGTTTACAATTAAATCTTGCACATTGTCATACTTAATGTCATATGCATGACCCTTATCTTCTTCAAGATCTTTTACTACAACCACCACCTCCATTCTATTGCTATCATATCAACATGTAAGCATGTCTATTTACATTTGTATCACTCCTAACCGTCATGTAAATTTTAGGTGATGTGCCATCAAAATAATAGTGTAAATTGTATTCATGACCCCTAAGACATCAACAGAGTGCTTCAATTTACTTTTTCAATAATAAAAAATTAATTTAGCCTCTCAAACTTTAAAGTTTTCTGACTTCCTCCAACATATTTCATCCTAGTTTGACCCTTATCCTTAATCCAATATCCTCCATATTTGAAGACAATAGAGCACAAATTATTGCAGTCCATATCTGCAAGTATAGTTTTTAGCGTCAAAGGTAATAAGCAAAACATATGTTATATTGAGATTAGAATGACTTAAACTATATACTTTGCCCAGTGTTATGTTGTTAAATAACACCACTTTGAAATCATGTAGTATAAGTTTTCCTAATCGGCTGCTATTATGAATTATTCATGTTATGATACAAAAGCTGGAGGAGAAATTTGGGAAAATCCTAATTTTTGCTCGGCTTGTCTAGCATATTCTTTATAAATGTTGAAACTTTCATAAGCTAACATATTAGCTCCACCAAAATTTATAGCTTCCTTTCCATAGCATGTGGAAAAAAATTGTTTGAAAATCATTCATAGTGGATTTGGTTGTTCTTAACTAATGTTGAGGGGAAATATGGAATGCTTTAAATCTAAGGTAATCAACTAAATAGAACTTTGTATAGAATAAAGCCAAATCTAAGGTAATCAATGAAATCTTGGATTGAGTTTTCCTCTGCATATTCTACAACGAAGGAGCAATAAAATCCCTAAAGTCAATGGGAGCGATTTCGTGATGGCAACATTGCAAATGGGAGAAGACTAACTGCGTGGGATTCTCAAAATAGAGAAGACGAGCAGCATGGGAATTAGACATTTGGATGATACAACTCAGTTGTGATATCTTCGAGCAGCCTGGAGAAGACGACCATGCAAGAGAGGGGGCAGCTCCATTATCAATGAATAAGAGAGGAGATTCTCATGCTCTTTTAGGTTTTCCTTTTGACGGGAGGGAATGAAATGTTTTTTTTTTAATGATAAGGCTAAGGGTTTTGAGGTGGCAGAATAGTAATAGGTAACTTTAGGTATTAAATAAGTAAATATTTTAGTTTTAAGTGTTAGTTATGT